GTCACAGTTTTATACGTAAACTTTAGATCGGTTATTGAGCTGAAAATTTGTCCCATTATAGGTAGTCCAAAATTGCCATTGTATCAATTGAAAATTCCCTCTAAGCATTTTCGTAAATCTTTATTATAATTAATGATTTCTTCTTAGACATACATCCGGTTGAAATCGTATAAAGACAAAATGCCATTAGAGTCAGCGTCAGTCTAGAAATGTAGGAAACAAAAGAGGGCGAAAGTTCCGGAAAAGAAATGAAGAGGGGTTCGATAACTAAAAAGGAAAGTATCGAACGTCGCCTGTCGTCATGAGCCCTAATAAAGGACGTCTTCTAATTTAAAAGGGTCGCGCCCTTTTCAACGACACCCTTCTTTGCTCGTTAAAGCAACAAGAAAGAGAAATTCTCGTTTAGAATTTTCAATAAAAATGTTTGGTATTTGCGCATGTGCCTCGACTGCTCAAGTGATTGACTTTAACATTCTAATGAGTGACATCCCAGGGTCCTTATTCTTGAAACAGTAGAACGAGTCTACCGTCTTTTTCAATGATATGCAACTGATAATATAAGTTAAGTACAGAGACGGGACACACGTTCTCCTAGGAACGTTGCTCCCCTGTTTCAAGAATAAGGACCCATCTTAAAGAATTCCAGAACTTGGAACGAAAAATTCAAGAGCCAAAAGAAAATTAAGAATTTAGAATAAATAAAGAAAAATCAAGAGACTGAAAAAGGAAAAATTATAAAAATTCAAGAATTTGAATTGAAAGAGAAACATTTTCTTGCTAATATTTCCTCATCATTATTCAATTTATAACTTTCAATTTTTGTCTATTTCAGGTGCTAGGTTCTCTCAAATAATTCTGAGGTTTTTAAATTGTTCTCTTTCAAAATGCTGTTGGAAAGTGTTTCGGAACGTTCTAAATGGATTGAAGTTCTAAAGTGTTCTAACTTGGCTGGATTATTCTAAAAGTTTCTCATTAATTTCAAAATTGTTCTGATAGATCTTTAGTACCTATATTAGAGCCTCATTGAAGCTTCAAAGTGTTCAAAAGAGTTCTAAAAGGTTTTCAGTTCTAAATTGAGCTCTAATTGTTCTAAGCAACTCTGAAAATTCTCAAATGAACTGTTTCCGATGCTTTAAAGGTCTAAAGTTCTATAGCAATTTAAATTCGCCTTGAATGCTTTTCAAAATGTTTCTGGAGATTTGAGGGTTTTGGAGCGTCCTTAAATGAGGTTCAAACTTTTGAACTTTTCTAAAATGTTTTTGGAAATTGTAAATCGGTTTTTGAAAGTTTCGGGGCATTCTAAAATGGTTTTGAGATTTCCAAAATGTTCTGAAGCGCTAACAGAATGCTTTTGGAAATTCTGAATTGAATTTCAAGTATTTTGAACTTTCCAAAAGGCTTATTAAAATTCTTAATGAATTCCACCTAATGAATGAGAAGCAAATTCTGTGAGAAATTTTAGTAGACATCTTAAAGGCGTCTCTAAGATGTCCACAGACAACATTCGAAACGTCTTGCTTACGTCTATAGGGCGTTTTGAAGACACTTTGAAAACGTCGTACAAAACCCAACGTCTTTCAGACGAATGTCTAAAGACGTCTTTAGGATCAAGACATTCTGAAGGCTTCTTAAACGAGATGTCTTGAAGACGTCTTTGAATCTCTTTTCAATACATAAACATTATTCGCTTCTAGGCCTGGTTGTACCAGTTAGTTTTCCTTAAGATGTGAATTTATGACATCTTCGAAACAACGTCTTATCTGGCTCAGACATAGTCTTTTTGTACATAATAAGATTAGACTAGACTGCAGCATTTCTCACAGAACTATTGTTCTATCAGTATTTCATTCCTTCTTGGCAAGATATCAGAAATAGCCATCAACTCCAGGTTTGTACAAGGAACTAAATATCTACAGTTGATTCTAGAAGAGCAAATTCGTGTTCAGAGCAGGATATTCGACAAAGCTATAGGCGCATAATAGTCAAATATTACTATAATTTAATTGGTCATTTGGAGCAGCTTTCTATAGAGTCTAACCCAAATAGCACAAGTGCCATTCTAGCAACGTATTGGGGATATCTGTATTCAGTAAGTCCCGAGTATGTCTTTTAAAAATCCTTGATTTTTCCTGCGATATACCTAGGATATATTTTGTTACAAAACCTCTCATACTGAGTACCTCCTGGAAAGAAGTACCATGGAAATCCTGGGGCTGTGTAAACAAAACTCCTACGAACATTCAAACAAAACTCCTAGGGATATTAAGGATACAACATTCAAGGAGGTCCAAAAAGAACATACATGTGATATTTAAATGGAAATTCACAGAAACGTCCAAGAAGAACTCCTAGGGATTTTCAAATAAGAATTTCCAGGGACATTTGGATGGACATGGGATTAAAAACGAAAGTCCTCAGGGTGTCACAAAGGTATATACCTAGACTAGTCGTTTACGGACGTTCTGCGAAAGTTCCGAAACGCTCAGAACTAGATGGGCTCTGAAACATTTTTAGATTTTCCGTTAGCGGATGTGCTCAGGATCTGGGTTTGGGACGTTAAGACCTATACGGGCTCTAAAACGGACGTCCTGTACTATCTGGGCTAGAGCCGGTTATAATCCAAATTTGAACTATTAACGGGTCTTGATTTTTTGGAAAAATTACCGAGGGAATCACGAGCCGATAATAAACAAAATTTGAACTTTCACCGGCTCTTGATTATCTAGAAAAACTACCCAGCAACTCAAGAGCCAATAAAAATCAAAATTTGAAATATTACCGGCTCTTGACTATCCAAAGAAATTCTCCAGTGATTCAAGATCCGGTAATAATCAAAATTTGAACTATTACCGGCTCTTGATTGTCTACAAAAACTACCCAGCAATTTCAGAGCTGGTAATAGTCAAAATTTGAACTATTACCGGCTCTTGATTATCTGGAAAAATTACCCTAGCAATTCAAGAGCCGGTAATAGTCAAAAATTGAACTATTATCGGATCTTAATTGTCTAGTAAAGTTACCGAAGGACCCGAGAGCCGGTAATAATCAAAATTTGGGTTTCAAAGAGAAATTGAGCTCTAAAAAATTTTCAGCTAATCAAAAACCGGTAATAATTAAATTTTGAACTATTACCGGCTCTTGATTGTCTGGAAAAATTATCGAGCAACTCAATAGCCGATAATACACAAAATTTGAACTATTACAAGCTCTTCATTGTCTAGAAAAATTACTGAGCGACTCACTCAGATAACACATGTGCATACTACTAGCAACGTCTTGGGAATATCTGAGTCGGGCATTTAGTAAGTCCCGAGTCCTCGATCTTCCCTGGGATATACCTAGGATAGTACACAACCTCTTATACTGACAACCTCCTGGAAAGAAGTTCGATAAACTTTACAAGAGGTTGTGTAAACAAAACTCCTACGAACGTTCAAAGAGAACTCCTAGGGATATTCAAATATAAGAATTCCCAAGGACGTTTGGATGGACATGGGCTTTAAACCGAAAGTCTTCAGGATGTCACGAAAGTAGCTATATTCCTAGACTAGTCGTTTGCAGACGTCCTGCGTAAGTTCCGAAACGCTCAGACCTAGATGGGCTCTAAAACATTTCTAGATTACCCATTAGCGGACGTTCTCAGGATCTCGGTTTTTAGTCTGGGACGTTAAGACTTTCATAGGATCTGGAATGCACGTCCTGGGGATGACCTGTGCTATCTAGGAATGGACTGATTCACAAGTTATCAGGTGAATGACTTGCAAACTGGTTCAGAATTAATGCAGTTTGCCAGTTTTTCCAAACAAATAATCGCTTTCGTTTATTAGTTGCAAAAGTTTCTATCAATAAATATAGACACTTTTTCATACGTTTCTATTTCAAGTGCAAAAGACGGACACTTAACTGAACTTATCTCAAACATTTGCCCAGTTTACATGAAGTTTAACAATAGAGACATTAAAGTCACGTCATCCAAAAAAAAAAAAAAACTGAAACTGAGATATCTAATGGTTCACTGAGAACCTACAAAATTTTCATAGTAATTATTGTTGCACTTCCAATGCCCCTTAGAAACTTCATAATCATGGTGCGCGAGCGATTGTTAGTTTTGACAGTATCCTGAATGGAAATCGACTCCCTGCCGATAGGATTTGCAACCCCCTTTAGGGCGGAATGGGATCAATTAGCGCAGCGTGTGTTAGGAGTTTAGAAACAATTTTGAATATTTATTAGGGTACAATGTGCATTTTTTTTTCGAAATTTATTTGTTCAACCTGTATAACTTTTACTCGGAACTTAGAGAGAGATTTTAAAATTGTCTTTTTTTCTAGGTAATAGTTTGACCAACAGGTAGCAAGATGGGCAATGACTTTATTGGGGTCATATTTCGTTCTTAAATTACTAGTCTATAGAATCTACATTTTGTATAAGGCGATTATGTTATTTCTATGACGTTGGGTAGGCACTTATTGCAAGCAAAAATATAAAAAAAAATAGAAGCAAAAAGCGAAAAATGTTAAAAATAAAACAAACTAAATCAATTATTGAAAATCCTATTTACTTGAGTCATTTACAAATCAATAAAAAACTATTTACAGTAACAAAAATTGCAGCAAATAAGTACAAGACTAATAATTAATAAACAATAATAATAATTTCAGAAAACACAAATAAAAAGGAAAAATAAAACATAATAGCTACAGGAGAAAATAATCAAGGCAGACCAGTCAAACCTAATCAAATTCTCGCAGTTGTTTTGCTTTATTTTTGATCACCAACCAATCCTTGTTGAAACAGATCCCTGGCACAAGCAAATTTGTCCATATTTTTATCTATTTTCTTTATATATAATCTCACTAAGATCTAATATATAACTCTGACCAAGAAAGTGAAAAATTGTCTTCAGATTACCAAAGACACTAGAAAATTAGGCCCCTGTATCAATACAATTTCATATAAGGCCTCTGTTGCATAGCCATGCCAGAAACACTAGCCCGTACCTCATCTTGTTCCGGCCTGTCCAACCTATATCTGGATTTATTGTCTTCGTACTCCCTCAATCTTTGAGTGTACCGTTCCATTTGGAGTCGCAAAGTGGCATCTTCATTGGCAGCAAATTCTTCGTCAAATTCCAGGGTACCCAAACCATCCAGACGTTCCAAATCGATGTAGCCACGCCATCTGACGCAGACGCCGTTCATTATGAATGAAGATTTTATGTGAACCTGGAACAAGTATAAAAACTTTATTATGTGACCAGGTTCCATCATTCTACTCATTCTAACTGAACAATGAAGCAATCAAAATCATCAGTTGAAAAGGTACCTAAAGAAAAACAAAAGATCCTTTTCAAAATAAAATTTAATGGGTCTCATTTCTCGCTTTACAACTGACGACAAAATCACAAAAACGCCGCTTTAGGACATAAATTAAAACCTGTACCCTGAAAAAAGCCCTTAAAAAACGACCTGCATGCGTGTGGCAACGGAATTTCTCAGATGGCTTTGTTAATTTGTGTCTTTAGGCCCTGTTTTTGCTTGAAAAAAAAACAGGGCAGAGGGTTTCTAGCTTCTACCTATACATTTGTCAAATAGAACTTTGAGAGTCAGAAGAAATCAAAGTTGACCGGAAATTGAATTGGTTTTTGGCCATTTATGAGTTACACCGGACGTGATTTCGTTATTCAGTAGCTGAAATCTGTTTTTACGGATGAACGACGACTATTTTTTTTATTGGACGATCAATCATAGGATGATAAAGTTTGAAAGCAATATTTGAAATCATAGGGTAGATCATCCAATAAATAAATAAATATACAACATAATACCGGGAGCTGTTTTCTTAAAGCTTAATCCTTTATAATCTTGTTTGGTAATTTTTCGTTTTCAAAATTTTCAAAAGGGTATTTATATATGAAATATGTAAACAGTTGCAAATGCCACACAAAAAGCTGTAGGCGGAATGAATCTTTTTGATTCACCTTAGAAATGTACAAAAGGCGCCTGAAGAGTCGTAAAAGATGTTTAATAGTTATTTACGAAAGCCGCACAGGCCGTATGGACAATAAAGTTACAATAAACAAAACTAGTTTAATGACGAACTTGGCGCTACTTTGAAAAATGCCGCAATCACTATAAAGTCACAGGTTTTTTTTTTATATATATTTTCACAACTTTATAGACATTAGGATAACTTGATGAAGGAAGAAGAAGAAGAGAAATTTACATCAGATTCGCATATTAAGTAAGTATAGATATATACATGGAAATTCCCATTGCGAAGTCACATATGGAAATTCCCAGCAAATCACGGACTATTCATAAAGGATTTTAGGATTTGTTCATAGTTCTAAATTTTTTCACTCAGTGTCAATAAGTCCAGAACATATTTATATACAAGGACATTCTCATGAAATCTCTGATTTTTCTCATTATCATCATCATCATCAATTCTAGTTTCCCAGAAGTTGAAGTACAAGAAATATTGTGCTTCATATACTGTGGTACTTAATCTGTGATAAATTTAATCTAAAACAGCAAGATTTTTTCTGAGTAACTACGAACTATTTAGAGCAAGTCTCATTATTCTTATATTTTTCTTTGTCAAACTGTCTCTAACATCCAGACTGAAAGTTAAAGTCCATTTAACAAGATTTCCAAAAAAAAATTATAGCTTAACTTGTCAACCTTTTTAGGGTCTTGTTTCAAACAACGAACAAAACATAATATCTAGAGCAAAAAGAAACAAAGCATGACAAATGGACAACCAGTTCCATAATAGAACGGCGTCAAAAAATTGACCCTTTAGCCCTACCCATTATTCTTTTTAATATTTTAATCTGGCCCTATTAATAATGTCGTACACACAATAGCGCCACGTTAATTATATGCAGCGTGGACTAGGAACATAATGTTTGTTTTTTTTTTTTGTACGGACTCAAAAATAACCGACTTAAAAATATTCAAGATTCCTTTCGAAAAAGGCTAAATAATTGCCAGTTCCGGTAATTTGGTAATTTTCCCGTTTCGTGGGTGATCTAATACTTTAATGAGGGCTTAAATTAACTGCACAACGCGCCCCTGCTGTTGTATTTTATTGTGCTTAAGGGTGAAATGGGCGAAAAAGAATACCGATAGCCTAAAGTTAAACCTTTTTCACCCATATGGTGGGCCTATTTTGAAAAAAAAATTGTTATAGATATTTATGTATATTTGGAAATTGGAAGGAAGAAACATGCGATATTTTATTGGTTTTGAGAATATTCTTTCTAGCATGAAGAAGTTAACTTTCTTGAACTTCCTTGATAGAAATTTGATATGGATACCTATGTTTTAAATAAGGCTTCTTAGCACCCAATAACGTCAAGGATACCTCAGTTCAAGTTGCTTCAATAATAATATTTGAAGTCCAACTATATATTTGATATCGAATTTTGTGGTTTATTAAACCATATGTATCAGAAGATTAAACTCATATAACGGAAATTTTAATCGTGTTTTTTGTTTTTGGCATATATTTTTGTGGTTTCCCGTTTCCTTTTATATTGCACACTTGGGCTATATTTTGATTTAAAAAGTTATTCGCTAGTTGGCTTCATATCGCATTTTTACCATTCATTTAGGACATGTCATATCTCAGATCCCAGAAGGCACAATCAGCCAATGGGCCTCCGAGTGCAAGTTGTACATTCGTAGGGCAAACCCTTTAAAACCTAACATAACCTATGGTAGGTATCCTTTCCTTAAGAGCCAAACTATGGACCTGCTTTGGTAAATTTATCCTGCTGGTAAAACAGAAAATGGAATTAAATTTTTAGTTTTACCAGCAGGATAAAGGACCCTGCCCAAAGTATACGGAGATTGTGTTTATGTCAGAATTGGCTAAATTTTGTATATAATGTAGATCACGCCTTCCTGATTAAAAGTTACTATTGCACCAATCCTGAAAAATGATTTCTTTTTGAGAAAATTAATTTCATAATATTCATAGGTAGCAAGTAAAACGCTTGGACATTGTAATGAACGTACATAAAAATAAGTAGATTATTGCCGAACTTATGGGTGGACCTCCAGCCATCTACTCACCAATATACTGTTGAACTGTTCAAATAAGACACTCACCTGAAACGTGTAGTTTTTGAACTAATGAGAAAAATTCACAACTGAGTGAATCAAGTTAGTATTGTACTTGAACAACATATTGGTGAATAGATGGTTGGGTCCACCCATAAGTTCCGCAACAATCCTCTCGTTTGTACTTGAATAACTTGTCACAATATATTACTAGTTTGGTAAAGTAACATTACTAATTCCTGTTAAAAGGCCAATTGACAAAAAGTGGATAATCTTACAAATTCTGAGCTTATTTAATAAGTTTTTAGTCAAGTACAAATAAGTGGATTGTTGCGGAACTTATGGGTAGACCTCTGCGGGACGAGCGCAGCGAGTTCCGCAGCCATCTATTCACCAATATATTGTTGAACTGTTCAAGTAAGACATTCACCTGAAACGTGTAATTTTTAAACTGATGAGAATAACGCACATTTGCGTGAGTCAGTTTAGTATCGTAATTAAACAACATATTGATGAATAGATGGTCCACCCATAAGTTCTGCAACAATTCACTCATTTGTACTTGAATAACTTGTCACATTATGTTACTAGTTTGGTAAAGTAACATTACTTATTCCTGTTGACAGGCAAATTGACAAAAAGAGAATAATCATAATCTTACAAATTTTGACTTTACATAATAAGTTATTGTTCAAGTACAAATAGGTGGATTAATGCGGAACTTATGGGTGGACCACTGTGGGACGAGCGCAGCGAGTTCCGCAGCCATCTACTCACCAATATACTGGTGAAATATTCCAATAAGACAGTCACCTGAAACTTGTAGTTTTTGAACTAATGAGAATAACTGACATTTGAGTAAGTCAGGTTAGTATCGTACTTGAACAACGTATTAATGAATAGATGACTGCGGAATTCGCTACGCTCGTCCCGCAGAGGTCCACTCATAAATTCCGCAACAATCCACTCGTTTGTACTGGAATAACTTGTCACATTATGTTATATACTATTGTAACATTACTAATTCTTGTTGCAAATTGACAAATGTGGATAATCTTACAAATTCTGACTTTATATAATAAGTTATTGTTCAAGTACCTACATACAATGTAACACAAATATACAGGGTGTCAATTTGAAAACTTCCCACCCCTATTATCTCGTAGTAGGAAAATTTTCGAAAAAATCCCTGAAATACGTCAACTATAATTTGAAGGGGGATGAGTTTTTATGCAAAATTCACCTTCCCTCTTTCAGCCCCCAGAGCCACCCCCTAGAAAATTTTAAATGGAAAGGGGGGTCAAGTGATACATCATTTTGCAGGGTTTTTGATTCCATACATTTTGGTACTAAAGTTTAGTCCCTAAGTTTAACTGTTTTGGAAATATTGACAGTTGAAAATTGATTTTTTTGCAACTTTGACAGGATGTAAAACCTAAACGGTTAATTTTAGAGGAAAACCGATCTTACATTCTTATCTTAGATTTTTATAAACTATCATTTGACAGCAACTTCGAATTTAATCCATGATCAAAAATTCCGGTTGAAAATTTAATCTCCGGTTAAATTCAAAAATGGTGTCAAATGATAGTTTATAAAAATCTAAGACAAGAATGTAAGATGGGGTTTCCTCTAAAATTAACCGTTTAAGTTTTACAGCCTGTCAAAGTTGCAAAAAAGTCAATTTTCAACCGTCAATATTTCCAGAACAGTTAAACTTGGGGATTAAAATTTTGTACCAAAATGTATGGAATTAAAAATCCTCCAAAATGATGTATAACTTGACCCCCCTTCCCATTTAAAATTTTCTAGGGGGTGGCTCTGGGGGCTAGGAGGTTGAAAGAGGGAAGGTGAATTTTGCAGAAAAACTCATCCCCCTTCAAATTATAGTAGACGTGTTTCAGGGATTTTTTCGAAAATTTTTCAACTCCAAGATAGTAGGGGTGGGAAGTTTTCAAATTGACATCCTGTATAGGTAAGCTTATGGCGCAGTGGTGTGCTACGTACATATAGTAATTTTTCAGGATTGGTGCAATGGTAACTTTTAATCAGAAAGGCGTGATCTACATTACATACAAAATTCAGCAAATTCTGACATAAACACAATTTCCGTATACTTTGGGCAGGGTCCTTTGCCAATGACGTCACTACAGTCGGCTTATAATTTGGCCCTAAAGGTGCCTAAAGCTCAGGCTAATTTTTTTAATGAGGAACTAATGTTGTTGTACCTAGTTACTGCATCAGTGGAACATTGTATAATATTAAAAAGATTATCTTGACTAATATGTATGTATCAAGGGTGACACAGGGTAGCTTCAAGGTGGGCCCTTTCATGTTGATCTACCGTGTAAAATTGGCCAATGCTTCACGTCCATATCAATTTAATATCTCATGAGTAAACCCACATATGTGAGGATTTTAATTTATAATACATGCAACATGCATGGAAATAAATTTACTTTGATTTTGCTGTATATGCTTCTTACAACACTAATTACTTATAATAAGTAAGTATTATACTGAGTGGGTTGATATATCAAAATCTTTCCCTAAAAGTAAACATCTTAATCCCAAAAGCCCAATCAATCTTGTTCCTTGCGTGTGGCATTTCCAAACAGTCAGCTGTTTACATATTTCCAAAAAATCTCAAGGGTGAAAAATTAACAAACAGGATTACAAGGGCTTAACCTAATCTTCCGGAATAAGAAACCTTCGCATCTTGAGATTAAAAATTGAAATCCTGAATTCAAACGGATAATATTTCAAAAAATTGATCATGTTTAATTAAAATTCACAATGTGACGTAAATGAGTTTTTCCATTGGTATCTAAGTAGGACTTTCCGCTATTTATTATTAGTAACCTTCAAAACCATTTATGCTGCTGTAAAGGTCAGCTTTCAGGGATCCTATAAAATTTCCCAGACAATTTCTATGATATGACTATACCAGGATACCAGTGAATATTTCAAAATTTGAATTGTCCCAATAAAATATTAAATCTTATTGTGGGGTGCCTTCGGTCGGTACCTATAATAAAATTTTAATGGAGACACCCTCTGAAGCTTAAACAAAAGCAACGAACCATTTTACGGCCAGTTTACAATTTACAATGCAACAAAATACGGGAAATAATAAAAGGCAAAAAGGCGAAGAGCGATTTCACGCCAACAAACCTGTGACAGACAGGGATACGGTTCTGTAATTATTATTATGGGTCTCGCCCAGGCAAATTGGTGTATGGTTTTAGTTAATGGTTATCTATTGTTAATTTCTTCTTATCCAATTTTTGTACTCACTATTATTCACTTTTAAATTTTGTTTATTATTCTTCGATTTGTTTTAGATTTAATTGTTCCTGACTTTCTTTTACTTATTATTATATTACCTACTCCAATAGTCCACTATAGTCTATATAGAAGCCAAAAAACGAATTTATGATATAAAAATACAAATTCCTTCTATACTAGTTGGTTAGTTTAAATTATAGTTTCCTTTTCTAGGCTTAATTAATATTGATAATCAGGCTTATGATGTATCCTTTCCTGTTATTTTAACAGTTGTGTTATAGCTCAAAACCTATACCTGTCCCTATTTTTACGTGTAGAATAAACAGTGACAGATAAGTTAACGTTGCTGTTAAAGTAACAGAAAATGATACATCATAGGCCTGATTATGTTTCTATATGTAGTTTTGAAGAAAAGTTGGTTCAATTTGAGGATACGAAAATAGATAACCCCCCATTGCATCTAATTCAGTAAAGATAGATTATTTACTAGTAAAAAAGTGAAATGTTCTAACTGTTCTAAGTCTTTGATGAATGAAATATAAAGTCAAAACTTTAAATTATCATAAAACAAACAAAAATTAAATTTATGTAACAATGAAAACCTCCCTTCAAAGCGTCCTCTTTCGCGATCAATAAACGACGCCCTTTCCCTATTGGCTGAACAAAAAGAGCGTCCACCAGCGCCATTTTGAAATACATCCAAAATATAAGGGATGATTACAGTGGCGTAACAAATTTACAGGGTGCTCACCTTTCCTTGTTCCTTTTCAAAATCGCACTGATTCTCGGACATGTAACCGGGATTTGGAGGGTTGAAAATCAATTGCAAATTGGTGCCTGTAGTGGAAAAGGCTATTTCGGTGTGACCTTCCTGGCAGGCGGTCAAAAACCGTTTTATTCGTTCTTCTTGCGGTCGGTCTCTATGACCTGTGTAACGGACCTGAAAAAAATTATTATTCATAACCCAAATTCCATAATGTACGAATAATAAAAATTCTTATTAGATTCCTCACTTCCTCCTATTCTGAAATATGTTTTTTTTATTATGACACACTTTACTGTTTAGACCTTGAAATTAAATCGTTTCAAACTGATGTAGCACGCCCATTTCTGTTTAATTCGTCCGAAACCAGTAAGAAAGCCAGTACCAAGAAGAACCAGAAAAAAATAGAAAAAGTCCTGAAAATATATGACTAACCGGATATGCTTGAAATATTTTCTCAACTATTCATTTTGAGATGTTGTGGGTATAAATCTGGTGCTTTGGGTGGCCGGAATTCATATACGTCTTTGATAATCTACTATTTTATTCAATTAAGACGTGTATTAAGTAATAAGTATCGAATTGAACCATACGTTTTATATATAAAAAAGTATCTATTATCTTTGCTATATCTAATAAACTCCTCGGGTCTTAGAGAGAAATAATTCAAGAAATCTTTGCTTAGAAAACAACAACATATCAACTAGAGTAGCAGCCTTGAAAAGCCTCTATAGATATTCTGGAAATTTCATAGAGTACCTAATGCAGTCAGTGAAGTTTTCAATAAAATAAGGACATAATTGTTTTACATAAAATATCCTGATTAGATGAGGGAAAAGCCAATATAGATTGTCGACAGCCTGAGTACAAAGAAGCAACAAGGACTTGGTACCTACCTACCGTAGTGTAGAGAATCAAAAATCGTTTGCCTATAAGTTTGCAGGTGTAGAATATAAATTTACCACAACTTTTTTCCAGAATTTTGGGGTGGTTTGAAAAAGACACGAAAAGCTACACTACAGAAAATACTTTAGAAAATGCCAACAGATGAACATCATCTACACTCAACAGCCTGCAATAAGGCAACATTACAATAAGATTTTCAGAGTAGAACTGATGATATTTGAGTTAGAATTTCTGAGTATTTTATCTTCTTTCTAAAGCATTTTCGCGAACTTGTTTGTCTCTAAGTATGTAGAAAATTGTCTAGAATGCGAGAAAATGTTGCAATTTCTCGAAAATTTTCTATGCTTTTGACACTGTACGATACCTTAAAGGAAATTTTGGATCGGATTCGGAAACGGTTATGTCTTATGCTCTTCGGAAATATGATTACTGACCAAAGTACCTACCTATACTTATTATAATGATACACAATGGAAGCTAACGTACTTAAGGGCTTTCTTATGATGCTTTAAGTATGTATAAGTATAACGATATTAGGTAGACCTATAGTATGTAAAGTTTGGTACTCACTTCACTTTCTCTGCTCAATCTCCTGAACAGTTCGTCGCTTTCAAATTTCGATTTCTGATCAGGTACCACCCGAGGCATCTTAAAAATAAACTTAGGCCTCGGTTGTTCGTACAACCCCATGTTATCGAAATGAGAATGGTGCATCATCCCTAACACTGACGTATGATCCATAATTGATTATTATTGCACTAGTACTATAATAATACACCGGTATATCGCAGACTAACGCTGGAACGAGAAAGTTTGTTATTGAAGCTACTCTAGAACAGAGGCAGCGGCCTGTTTCCGAAGCTCAAAACTGGGCGGAACACGTTCCGGCCAATCCCAAAAGCTCTCGGTTCCCCTATTTCGAACTGACTCCGCCAGCATTTTATACTTTCATAATATATTGTTGTTTGTTGTAATCTCGTGATTATCATCATATCGTGAAAAAAAAACTATTGTTTGGATGCATCTGCTTTGACAGTTTCAATAGGGATTTTCAAGGGTGTAAAGTATTATGTTACTGGATCGGTTTTTATATATGGGGTTGAATTTTGGATTATAGTGTTTAGTTTTGCCCAGACGGCCATATTTGGAAACTAGTTTGAATAATAATAATGTAATATTTTATTCAGTTTATGACACACATGCGCAGGAATTGTACAATTAGCTCCTGAGCTGATGTAAAAACTAATTGAATTTTATAAGCTCGTTCCAACAGACATGGGAACCATTCTAAATAGAACGGTAATTTCCAGTCGATCAATTCATTTGTCAAGTAGGATAAACGTCCAACTTATTGAAAAATAGGTGGGCAACTGGAAATTACTGGTTCTGGAACGGTTCTCATGGCTGTTGGAACATCAGAGATTATATTTAGGTCAGACTTCAAACCCTTGGTTAATTTAAGGGCATTGGTATAGGTAAGCGCCTCTAAGTTAAGTTCCCTACAGACATTACCAGACATTCCAAACCAAAAACTGCTCTACTCTTGCTCAAATCAGTCATATATGTATTCAAAAGTATCCTATAGATAGGTTTCAAAGAGTGGACATAGTTGATATGAATCTACTCCAACCCTAAATGAATCCAGATACAGGATAACCTTCACAATTTAACTGAGAGAGTTCAGGTTGAATGATGAATGGTTATCATCGAAAAACTCAGACAGTTTTTAGGTCATTAACAGGAAAAATACCAATGTATGATGTATAATTGTATGATTCACTATATCAGCAACCATCTGCTTTTTGTATATGCAAACTTTCCCTTATTTACCATAACCCAGTTATTTGTTACACAAAAAATAAGTGGGTCATTGGTCAGACGAAAACAATCGCGCATTGTATCTATAAAGAACGAAGGTCCACGCCCAATTCAATTCAATTCTTGAAATACCGGATTTTGCATATGTTATAAAGAATACCCTTCGTAATAAGCCGTGTACATGCATACCTACATCTGGGTTGGTCTTTTGAACCTGAATAGAAGGGGCGAAAGTAGCCATTGTCCAAAAATCTCAGTGTTGACTCGTTGAAAATAGGATATTTTCTCGTCGTGCTCTTGCTTCGATGGATTGTGATGGAAGTATTTTTAATTTGAAGATTTTCTGCAACATTTCAAATACCAGCTACTTTTCGACGACCCTGTCCAGAAAGTACCTAGCCAAGCCACGTTAAATTGAGCTCTTCACGATGAGAAATTGCATCATCAGATGGTTCTTTTTTTTGTCAATCGACTGAGAAACTTATGGCATCTGGGTATAGTCATTTACTACAAAAGGTTGCCCTTTGCATGGTGTATCGACTAGGAACCTTAATTTTCTGAAGTTAAGACTATAAGAATCAAATTAGAAACCTTGTAGTCCTCTAGCGCACTATTCTCGAAATGAGGGAGCAGCGTTCTATGAGAACAATGTCTCTCTGAATTCTATGTAAAAGCTGATATAAGTGAGAAAGACTAAAATCTCAATTAAGAATCAGGTGCCTATGCATCTTTGGGTAGATTTTTGTATTCTCACCCACCACTCATAGTTTTGTCTCTTCTCTTTGTGCCTCTAAAACTTTACAGCTGGGTGTATTTCTTAGCGTATTTGGATCATTTGGCTACTCCTCCTTGCCCTCTCAGGTTTCATCCTCCATTTTCACATCAGAGGATCATGTTTGGTCTCCAAGAAAGAGGGTGCATTCTGTAACTTACTTCTTCCTCTTCTGGAAGATCTGTTTTTGAGGATATCGCTCAAAACAATGAGTTTCTGCTCTCATAATGTCTTGTTTTCACAATTATCCCTTCATCTACTTTCTAGCCGAGTAGAATGTATGAAATATCCGAGTGTAATGGGCAAGCATCTCAGCCATCTCCCTGGTAACTTCCTTCTTCTCCATGCAATTGATTTTTCTTCGGTCAAACTGGAGTAAGATCGAGTCTACTTCGAAAGCCAATCGCATTTTTCACTATATAGGTAGGTATATGAGTAGTATCCTCTTTATCTCCTACTCGTTTTTTGATAGTTCGTTTTTCAGTTATTTGCTTTTTAGTTTGTCCTTTATCAGTGATAATAACTTCTCGAACTTGTTCAAGTAATTCATCAATAATGGGTTCATCCTTTTCGACAGGCTTAAGTTAAATAGTTTCTAGAGCTTCCCTAGTAAATTTTTGAACTTGTTTTGATGTGCGCTTGAGTTGCACCTGTTCAGTCGCAGGATGGTCCTGTTCAGTTACTGTAACGGAAATTTCAGGTTTGTTACACACTTCCTCTAAAGTAACTATCTCAGTTGTTTCGTCTTTGCTGCCCTTGCATTTTCTTATCGTGCTTCTGTCGTCTTTCAACAACCCCTTTGTCAAATATTTCAACATGTTGAACTTCTTCTGGATGTTCTTGTGTTGTGGGTTTTTCTTCTACGTGTGGGGCTTCTTCATGAACTAATACAGTTGCTTCACTAGGTTTGCAGTTTTCTTTTACAGTAACAATTTGAATGCGACTTCTTGTTCTCCAGCTTTTTCTTTACAAATAGTCCTTTTCCTATGCACTCCTCTGTCAAATATGGTAGTTGCTATTGTATCTCCACTAGAATTTAAGTTCTTCTACAATGAGCGATGGCTCTTCTCCATTACTATCTGTGCTTTTTGGCATTTCTCGGACAGTTATTGAAGTTGAAGGTAAAAACCTTCAACTTCAGTAGGTAGTTACAATTTCAGTCACTTCTTTATTTCCTGCCTTCTAAGCTTTAATAACTCTCTTTGTTTGAGCTACTTTCTTTTTAACTCCTTCATCTGTAATTGTAGATACGAAGAGTTTTTCTGGAAGTTCTTTCACAGTATAGAATGGCATTTCTCCTATTCTGTCGGGTATTTTCTCTTCCTCAATAACGACAGAAGTTTGGGGCAACTTCTTCTTTTACAGTAAAAATTTCTGTGGTTTCTTCCTATTGTCGCCATTCCTTTTTTTTATCACTCTCTTTCTAGTTACTTGTGTCTTGGTTTTACCATCTTCAATAATAGTTGAACGTTGAATTTCTTTAGGAACCTGCTCTATTTCCAAATATTTTTCTACTATTGGTTGTTTATCTTTTTTGACAGGTTTAAGTTGAATTTGTTCAAGTTTTTCCGGTTCAGGCTTTTCAGTTTCACTTGTTCAGTCCAAGGAATTTGCTTTATTGGTTTTTTTGTTTCTTCGATAACAATTGTAATAATTTCAGGCTTCTTTTTTTACCTTCTTCAACAACTAAAATGTCAGTTGTTTCGTCTTTATCGCCTTCACTCGTTTTCTAATGATCTTTTTCCTGACAACTCCCTGATCTACAGTAGTAACTTCCTGAACATCTTCGGGACCTTCTTCAATGACTACTGGTGGCTCTTTGACAATTTCATCGACAGCTTCTTAGTTTGTGGCATTTCACCAGTTTCTTCTGTGGTAATTATTTCGGTTGTAAGAATTCTCGAATCTTTACGTTGCTTTATTGTACGTTTCTTTTTTGTAAGTTTCTTCGGAAGTCCTTTTTCACTAATGGTTGTCTCGTGAACTTCCACTGGAAGTTTTTGTACAATAAATTCAGGGAAGTTCTTGTACAATAAATTCAGGAATAATTTCGGTAACTGCTTTTTTTATCATCCTAAGTAGTTTTTATGACGCGTTTTCTTTCAACTCTCTTTTTAGGAGTTCCGTCAACTATATGCTAGTACTTTCAGAAACTTCTTCTGGAAGTTCTTTGACTATACACATATCGGTTAGAAACGAGGGATCAACCACTATGCTTACAAATTTACAATGATTTCCATATTTGGCAATCACTGACCCATGAATCTCATTTATTCCCATCCCAAGAATTGCGACTGATTGCCAATGATTTCCAGATATTTTTGTATGATTACCTGGTGATTTCCATTTTTTCTCGAGATTCCTATATCATTCCCAATTCACTACCCGATTTCCTAAATAATTTTCTACTGATTTCCAGTTGATTTTAGTCTAATTGTTAAGCTCCGCATTGATATGACCAAAATAAACAGGATTTTCTCTTATAAAAACACGTTTCCACTGAAAAATTGGTAACTTCTGTATTTGCAACTCTTCCAAAAGTTAGCAACTTTTATTTTCATAGTTTTCCACACCTACACCGATTTTGTTGTAGAGGTATAAAAAATTGTTGAGCCCTAGATATTATTATGTGGATTTAAAGTAATGGATATTTCTCTGATTTCACTAGGATGTTCATCTGAATCAGAGACATCTTCAATTAGGGTTTCACTCGACAAATTTATTTCCTATTCTGATTCAGATGTGCTATCGTCTCTGCTTCTCATACTGCCTAGTATTTATTCTACTTTCCCTTTTCAAGTTCTTATTGCCTTGGATTTCCGACTTTTCCATTTGTGTCCTTCTCAAAGATATTCCCATAGCTCCTAATACTCAATCGATAAACGTCCCTGCTTCTTTGAAAAGAACCAAATTAAAGCTGAGCCTTGAATAATCTCTTAATTGTAGCGAATCGCAAGTTGCTAAACCCTGATATATGAAGAAATTCTGTGTTCTTTTAGCAAGTCGGATTCGAGAGATGTTTCAAGGTTCATGTTTTCATTTTTATGATCCACAACATTGTCATACTTTAGGTCTGTTCTCACTCTCACAGAAATCACAAACCAGTCAGAGCGAATTTCATTGGTTGAAAATAGTAAGAAAACTGGTTGTTGACAATTTGCACCAATCAAAAACGCTCTGACTGGTTTGTGATTTCTGTGAGAACATACTTCATCTCGTTCTTCTTCTTCTTCTTCAAGTTCTAAACTCTTCGTAGTCTCGGGTTCAGTTATTATCTCAGTCATTGGGAAACTCGTTGGGATATCAAATTTATTTCAAATTGTC